AGCTAATGAAATAAAAATGGTGATCCATGGACTGCCGCTGACTACTTTCCCCAATCTGAATATGTAAGCACAAATCACATATCGCATATCACATATTACACATAGCACATCAATAAGTACGACTACCGAGGTCATTTGAACATGTCAAGTCTGGTAAGACGTTCAATTACACGACCAGCACCCCTGGCTAGGGAAGTCGGATTATGTGAAGTGCTCCAAACAATTGGAATCGAACGTTATAATCATTTGCAATTATCAGTGGAGTTAAATTAACTATTTCCTCTTAGAAAGAAAAGATAACAATTACTCACTTACAAAGTAAGACCGCCATCGAAATTGGTAATTATCAACTGTTTACAATATTTTTTTTAACTGAATGCCTTATACTAATATGTTATTTCCATTCATATTCCCACACCAAAGGTAATGAAGCTCTTGTAATACTACTAAATAAGATATGTTTTAATTTTATCGTTTCACACAACCCCAGATTATCAGGGAAAAAAAAGATTATGCCCATTCTGCGAGTCAAATTTTAAATACCAGGGTGCAAAGAAAGTCAGTTTTACAGCTTGCCCTTCAGGCAAGCTGTACGTAACATCTACTAGCCCGAAAGTCATTCTTACTTGCCCGAAAAAATTTTTTCGCAAGCAGAAAAAAAAGAGAGTTGTTTTGCTCTCGGCGCTGTCACACTGCATAATTTTTTCTAAGTCCACCGCAACACGTGAATGATTATCATGCATTTTAGACATTTTAGAATTTAGAAACACATTTTTTGAGAAAAAAAAACGGCGTTGGAACCGTAAAACCAAAGTTCTCAATGGACACACTTAATAATAACGTCGACAACGCGAAAAGCTGCCAGTGAAAGCGCCTCATTCTCCAATTTGCTGCCAAAAAAATTTCCCGCCGGAGTATTTCTTAGCAGCTGACAGGAGAGATATTTATATTATTAACGGGGATAAAAATTTGATAGCTTTCATCAGTTTGCTTCTCATTCAAAAGTAGTGCATTCAGAAGATCATTTTTCTGAAGAATGTTTGTTTGAGAGTCGTCTCAGTGCAAGTACCGAGTCACGTATCAGTGAACAAATTCTGTAAACAAAAATTATGAAAGTTTGTGGTTCATCTTGTTACAAGTAACTAAAGGTTTTACGTTTCAAGAGTACAAAAATGTTCGTTTCATCTCTGGCAACTTCTTATCTGAAATAT